GGAATGAGTTTGACACGTGGTCTATACTGTATGTTCTTATTATGAGTATATATTTTCAAACATTACCCTCTTCTTTTTACTACTCTTTATTGTAATATTTGTAGTATACATTTCTTTAGAATGTTTTTCTTTTTTTTTATATATAATTGTGTTCAGGATCTTCAATTTCCACCAAGTGTCGTTAACACCCCATGTTCCCCTTATCCTACAGTCGGTGGAGAAACCAACTTTTGAGTGTTCAGAGATAAAACACTTTAACTGGCGTGGAAGTGGCTAGAGTCTTCAGAGGTAGGCAGTTACCTGTATGTCTCTCTATGGATCCACATTTCAACTGACTCAAAGGTCAAAGGTCGTGTTGGTTAACCCAATGTAATGTAAACTAAAAAATGGTGTGTATGTGTTTCACACCAGTGCTCAACAACAAACGGCATATGCTGCTCGCAAGTGCTGTCATTTAACCGCCATTATAACGCAGATACTGTTTTGGCCGCAATAGCCTTAGCCAGGTAATATCAAGAACAGATCAGAGACCTGCCTCTGGCTATGGTTCAATGAAATATGGGGGTAAGATATGAATATGAGAATATGGGCAGAATCCTAGGGCCAGTGTGTGAATGCAATATGCAACACTATGCTTAAGGCGACTTGACATGTAAATAAATAACTTTTAATTAATTCATCCATTCAACCATTCATTTATTAATTCACTGTGTTTGTAATCTCTTTTTGTTGAGGTATTTTATGGTAATCATCAACTATATAAGTTGTATGGCTTTGTTATGTCTGATTCATCTATCTGTCTGTGATCCTATCTGCCCATCTTTGCCATTGTTTCACTGTTCTGTTCAGGACCTCAAGAATTGTAAGGCAAATTCCTACCAAGAAGGCAAATAAATTGACCTTCACCATGAAACTATGCTAATTAGAACTATGCTACTTAGCTCAACTAGATACTACTCGTGAGCGCACGACTCCCTTAGCCACTATTACTGTACGAAACTCCTGTACTACTCTCGTACACAATGTTATTCATTAGAGCAATGATACTCTCCATTCGATGATATGATGGTAGAATAGCATGCAAACCATGGAATCCATTTATTCTATTTCTATGATGAAAATACTTTGTTATTACACTGTGCTATATACTCCATAAGGACCACTACTACACATAATATTGTAGCACATAGCAACACATAGCAACCTCTGGAGGATTGGATCTCTTGGCGTAACAGCTAGTAGTCAATCATTGGACCAGGGTTAACATCCCAGTCTGGACTACCCCCTGAATTCACTGCAATATCAGGTTGTACAGTCATGGTTCTTCAGGTTGGTTTTAAATGTTTGTTTTTTCATCTATCAAAAGGGAAGGTTTTAACAAGGCAAGCGAAAACCTGTATGACAACATTCTCTGTGTTCATTTGGGTAAAAACCTACACTATTGAAAAAAAAAATACTATTCTGATTCAAATCATCCTGTTGATACATAACTGTTAACGTTAAGATATAACTATGCCGCAGAAGAAATAAGATAGCACAATTGAAGATTGCTAGAAAGAGGGTAACACAAAAGAAAGATAAAAAGTCATTGTGTACAGAAAGGGAAAATGTGATGAGTACAAATTGTGGTGCTTGGCAAGTTGACTTCTAAGGGCCTCATTTGTTAACAGGGAAAACAGTACAAGCCACAGCGAGTGGAACTCATGTTTTTCAAAGCACTTGGAAGAGAATGAGAGAACGAGACAGAGAGAGAGAGAGAGAGAGAGAGAGAGAGAGAGAGAGAGAGAGAGAGAGAGAGAGAGAGAGAGAGAGAGAGAGAGAGAGAGAAAAGAGAGAAAAGAGAGGACTGTGAGCTCTCGTTCTCTGTGGCTGACGTGAGTAAGACATTTAAGCGTGTTAACCCTCACAAGGCTGCCGGTCCAGACGGCATCCCTAGTCACGTCCTCAGAGCATGTGCAGACCAGCTGGCTGGAGTGTTTACAGACAATCTCTCCCTATCCCAGTCTGTTGTCCCCACTTGCATCAAAGATGTCAACCATTGTTCCTGTACCCAAGAAAGTGAAGGTAACTGAACTAAATGACAATCACCCCGTAGAACTCACTTCTGTCATCATGAAGTGCTTTGAGAGGCTAGTTAAGTATCACCTCCACCTTACTTGATACCCTAGACCCACTTCAATTTGTATACCACCCCAACAGATCCACGGATGGCGCAATCGCCATCGCACTGCACACTGCCCTATGACATCTGGACAAGAGTAATACCTATGTAAGAATGCTGTTCATCAACTACAGCTCAACCTTTAACACCATAGAGCCCTCCAAGCTCATCACTAAGCTCGGGTCTGAACCCCACCCTGTGCAACTGTGTCCTGGACTTCCTGACGGGCCGCCCCCAGGTTGTGAAGGTAGGAAACAACACCTCCACTTCGCTGATCCTCAACACAAGGGTGCGTTCTCAGCCCCTCCTGTACTTCTTGTTCACCCATGACTGCGTTGCCATGCACGCCTCCAACTCAATCATCAAGTTTGCAAACGACACAACAATAGTAGGCCTGATTACCAACAATGACGAGACAGCCTACTGGGAGGAGGTGAGGGCCCTGGAGTGTGGTTCCAGGAAAATAACCTCTCACTCAATGTCAACAAAACAAAGGAGCTGATTGTGGACTTCAGGAAACAGCAGAGGGAGCACGCCCCTATCCACATTGACGGGACATCAATGGAAAAGGTGGAAAGCTTCAAGTTCCTCGGCGTACACATCACTGATGATCTGAAATGGTTCACCCACACAGACATTGTGGTGAAAAAGGCGCAACAGAGCCTCTTCAAACTCAGGAGGCTGAAGAAATTTGGCTTGGCACCTAAAACCCTCACAAACCTTTACAGATGCAAATTTGAGAGCATCCTGTCGAGCTGTATCACCGCCTGGTACGGCAACTACACCGCCCGCAACCGTAGGAGGGTGGTGCGGTCTGCCCAGCGCATCAACGGGGGCAAACTACCTGCCCTCCAGGACACCTACAGGACCCAATGTCACAGGAAGGCCAAAAAGATAATCAAGGACAACAACCACCTGGCCACTGCCTGTTCACCCCGCTATCATCCAGAAGATGAGGTCAGTACAGGTGCATCAAAGCTGGGACCGAGAGACTGAAAAAACACTTCTATCTCAAGGCCATCAGACTGTTAAATAGCCATCACTAGGCGGCGTCCACCCGGTTACGTAACCCTGCACCTTAAAGGCTGCTACCCTATAAACATAGACTTGAAATCACTGGCCAATTTAATAATGGAACACTAGTCACTTTAATGATGTTTACATATTTTTGCTTTACTCGTCTCATATGTACACTACCGGTCAAAAGTTTGGACACACCTACTCATTCAAGAGTTTTTCTTTATTTTTACTATTTTCTACATTGTAGAATAATAGTGAAGACATCAAAAATATGAAATAACACATATGGAATCATGTAGTAACCAAAAAAGTGTTAAACAAATCAAAATATATTTTATATTTGAGATTTGTGAAATAGCCACCCTTTACCTGGATGACAGCTTTGCATAATATTGGCATTCTCTCAACCAGCTTCATGAGGTAGTCACCTGGAATGCATTTCACTTAACAGGTGTGCCTTCTTAAAAGTTAATTTGTGGAATTTATTTCCTTCTTAATGTGTTTGAGCCAATCAGTTGTGTTGTGACAAGGTAGGGGGGGTATACAGAAGATAGCCCTATTTGGTAAAAGACCAAGTCCATATTATGGCAAGAACAGCTCAAATAAGCAAAGAGAAATGACAGTCCATCATTACTTTAAGAAATGAAGGTCAGTCAATCTGGAACATTTCAAGAACATTTAAAGTTTCTTCAAGTGCAGTCACAAAAACCATCAAGCGCTATGATGAAACTGTCTCTCATGAGGACCGCCACAGGAAATGAAGACCCAGAGTTACCTCTGCTGCAGAGGATAAGTTCATTAGAGTTACCAGCCTCAGAAATTGCAGCCCAAATAAAATAAAAGTCACAGACACATCTCAACATCAACTGTTCAGAGGGGACTGTGTGAATCAGGTCTTCATGGTTGAATTGCTGCAAAGAAACCACTAGTAAAGGACACAAATGGGCCAAGAAATATGAGCAATGGACATTAGACCAGTGTCAATTTGTCCTTTATTCTGGAGTCCAAATTGGAGATTTCTGGTTCCAACCACGTGTCTTTGTGAGAAGCGGTGTGGGTGAACGGATTATCTCTGCATGTGTAGTTCCCACCGTAAAGTATGGAGGAGGAGGTGCTATGTTGTGCTTGCTTCTACAGCACCAACTTGCGAGTTGATCATCTTCTGCTCGTATAGTGCATGTGCAGCCAGGATCCATACAGTTAATGACTCCTCTGCTTTCTCTCTGTTTGCTGTACTGGTGTGTGGCTCGGGTGTTTGTTGCTTGTGTGTTTGCCATTTCACTTGCTGTGCTTGTTTCGGGAGGCGGGGTGCGGGCTGTATTTTTTAACCCACTGTAGCTCATAGCAAACATTTTGTAAATTCCTGTCAAGAAGAGAGACACGGAAGTCCAGCTAGACTAGCTAGCCTGTAGTTTCAAATGGAGGTCACTAACGGACATTTTCAATGCAACAGGAGCTGTGTTTATTTTGCTCTTTTCCGGGACAATGTGAACCGGCCGGACATGTAATGTAGCAACTGTTTTCTTGCAGAAGACTACAGGGTCGAAGTGGCTACTTATAGCAAAGAAGTAGCGAACTTACACAAGCTACTGTGGAATCCACGCCCGCCTACTTTCGCTTTCTCCTCTACTCCAATAGCTGGACGCCGCTCTGGCCTGGTGGGAGTGTCGGCGCCGTGTCGTCTCTCCACAGCTGACTGGCCGGTGCTCTGCAGGGATCACTCCCCGAAGGGTTCTCTCCCTTCCCTGGTGAATGGAGTTAGTAGGTTGCTTCTGGATGACTTAGTGTATATTCATATTCTTGACCCTACCAACCAGCCATGGAGGCACGTCGCTCGCCGTGGAAGTCGAAAGCATCAGCCTTTGGTAATTGGAGCCTCCTTGGCGATGTGAAGCCCGGACTTGTTCCAGAGGTTCCAGCGCCTTCATTCCTGGAGGCTTCCGCTTTGAGATCGGATCCGGAGTTACCTGCGCCTTCGTCCTCTGTTCTGTCTCCCTTTCCGGTGGCTTCTACCTTGGGTTCAGATCTTCAGAGCTCCCCCCTCATCAGACCGTGGGGGTGTCTGAGACTCCGGCCCCTTCATCAGCTACAATGGATTCTACGGCTGGCTCGGGTCCATTGGGCCCCACCTCCCATCAGTCCTCGAGAGGTCTTCTAAACCACTCGAGGTGAAATAACGGCCAGATGCCCTCAGCCATTTCACCAGCTCGGAACTGCTGAAGATTGATTTTGAAGAACTGATTCTAGCTCTGAAAGATTCCAAAAAAGGCCCGGTACCATCGCTGGGTCACGGCTGTGAAAGATTCAGCAGGCTACTGGCATTACACACCTGGCTAAAAGACTACTGTAGCTCTCTTGGCATAACGTTTATAGATAACTTTGAAACATTTTGGAAAAAAAAGATGCTCTACAGCCTTCAAACTCAACTCTGGACCTCAAAGCCAGTTCCATTGCATTTTTGTATTGCTCCCCTCTAATTAGGGACTGATTTAGACCTGGGACACCAGATGTGTGCAATTAATTATCAGGTAGATCAGAAAACCAGCAGGCTCTGGACTTTGTAAAGTAAGAGTTGAATACCCCTGCTCTACAGGAATGACGGAGTCCATCCAAATCATCTTGGCTCCTGGACCCTGTTAGCTCATTTAAAGGCTGCGTTGTGACAATGACTTATCAGTGACCCAAGCCCTGCTCAGATAATCCCTACTATTGTGTAGCTGAATTGTCGTAGTGCTGCTGCAAATGTACACTGTCCCAGGGGCGTTGGCAGTCATAATGTAAGTAACCTAATGTATGTCCCTCTAACTCCCCTGAATGCCTCTGTCAGTATGATAAATGTATGCACTCACTAAATGTAAGTCGCTCTGGATAAGAGTGTCTGCTAAATTACTAAAATGTAAAAAAATTAAAATAATCCTACAGCTATTGTATGCAGTAATAATTCACCTATGAACCTGAGTTGTACTGTTAGCACTGAGGCAGTTTGCCCTAGTAGGAAGTCACCCTGCACTATCAGCTCGAACATAAATATCACTGTCAAGTCTATCTCAGATAAGCCTCCCAGTAAAGCTATAAATACCATTGAGAATTCCCGAAAAGTGCTAAAAAATTAGCCCACATTAACATACTGTATGTAGCCTAAGAAACAAGGTTAATGAAATAGAAAACTTGCTAGTAACATATAACATTAATATACGGTGCCTTCGGAAAGTACTCAGACCCCTTGACTTTTTCCACATTTAGTTACGTTACAGCCTTATTCTAAAATGGATTCAATAAATAAAAATCCTCAGCAGCTACACACAATACCCCATAATGAAAAAGTGAAAACAGGTTTTTAGAAATCTTTGCAAATTTATAAAAAATAAAAAACATAAATATATTATTTACATAAGTATTCAGACCCTTTGCTATAAGACTCGAAATTGAGCTGAGGTGCATCCTGTTTCCATTGATCATCCTTGAGATGTTTCTACAACTTGATTGGAGTCCACCTGTGGTAAATTCAATTGATTGGACAAGATTTGGAAAGGCACACACCTGTCTATATAAGGTCCCACAGTTGACAGTGCATGTCAGAGCAAAAGCCAAGCCATGAGGTTGAAGGAATTGTCCGTAGAGCTCCGAGACAGGATTGTGTCAAGGCACAGATCTGGGGAAGAGTACCAAAACATTTCTACATAATTGAAAGTCCCCAAGAACACAGTGGCCTCCATCATTCTTCAATGGAAGAACTTTGGAACCACCAAGACTCTTCCTAGAGCCGGCCGCCCGGCCAAACTGAGCAATCGTGGGAGAAGGGCCTTAACTCCCCTCCCAGGGAGGGGACCAATAACCCAATGGTCACTCTGACAGAGCTCTAGAGTTCCTCTGTGGAGATGGGAGAACCTTCCAGAAGGACAACCATCTCTGCAGCACTCCACCGAAGCCACTCCTGCACATGACAGCCAGCTTGTTTGCCAAAAGGCACCTAAAGACTCTCAGACCATGAGAAACAAGATTATCTGGTCTGATGAAACCAAGATTAAACACTTTGGCCTGAATGCCAAGCGTCACGTCTGGAGGAAACCTGGCACAATCCCTATGGTGAAGCATGGTGGTGACTGCATCATGCTGTGGAGATGTTTTACAGCGGCAGCGACTCGGAGAATAGTCAAGATTGAGGCAAAGATGAACGGAGCAAAGTACAGAGAGATCCTTGATGAAAACCTGCTCCAGAGCGCTCAGGACCTCAGACTGGGCCGAAGGTTCACCTTCCAACAGGACAACAACCCTAAGCACACAGCCAAGACAACGCAGGAGTGGCTTCGGGACAAGTCTCTGAATGTCCTTGAGTGGCCCAGCCAGACCCAGACTTGAACCCATCAAACATCTCTGGAGAGACCTGAAAATAGCTGTCCAGAAATGCTCCCCATCCAAGATGACAGATCTTGAGAGGATCTGCAGAGAAGAATGGGAGAAACTCCCCAAATACAGCTGTGCCAAGCCTTTAGCGTCATGCCCAAGAAGACTCGAGGCTGTAATCGCTGCCAAAGGTGCTTCAACAAAGTAATGAGTAAAGTAATGTTCAGAGTCTTAATCCTGTAAAGTTTAGAGAGGATCTCATGTCAAATGCTGTTGAAGTAATATGCCTACAGGTTCACCTGCCTCACCTAAAGCCCATTATTGTGGGAAGCTGCTATAGACTAACAAATGCTAACAGTCAGTATCTGGATAATATGTGTGAAATGCTTAAAAATGTACGTGATATCGACAGAGAAGTATATTTTCTGGGTGACCTAAATATTGACTGGCTTTCAGTATCCAAATCCATCAGATGGTGTTATTTAATGGAAACCTCTCCTACATAATCCAGGTAGAGTCAGGCATTCCCCAGGGCAGCTGTCTAGGCCCTTTACTGCAACACTTAACAAAGAGTTGTAGTGAATTTCAGAATGGGTGGTAAGAAATAAGTTTGTCCTAAATATTTAAAAACTAAAAGCATTGTAATTTGGACAAATCCTTCACTAAACCCTAAACCGCAACTATCTCTTGCAATGGATGTGGAAATTTAGCAAGTTGAGGAAAGTAAACTGCTTGGAGTAACCCTGGATTGTAAACTGTCATGGTCAATATATTAACACAACAGTAGCTAAGATGGGGAGAGGTCTGTCCATGATAAAGCGCTGCTCTGCCTTCTTAACAACACTATCAACAAAGCAGGTCCTACAGGCCCTAGTTTTGTCTCACCTGGACTACTGTCCAGTCGTGTTGTCAAGTGCCACAAATAGGGACATAGCAAAATTAAAATTGGCCCAGAACAGGGCAGCATAACTGGCCCTTAAATGTACACGGAGAGCTAACATTAATAATATGCATGTCAAATTCTCCTGGCTCAAAGTAGAGGAGAGATTGCCTTCATCACTAATTGTATTTGTGAGTATTGACATGTTGAATGCACCGAGCTGTCTGTTGAAGCTACTAGCACACAGCTCAGACACCCATGCATACCCCACAAGACATGCCACCAGAGGTCTCTTCACAGTCCCCAAGTCCAGAAGAGACTATGGGAGGCACACAGTACTACATAGAGACATGACTACATGGAACTCTATTCCACATCAAGTAACTCACGCAAGCAGAAAAATAAGATTTCAAAAACTGATAAAAATGCACCTTATGGAACAGCAGGGACTGTGAAGAGACACACACAGGCACAGACATACACATACACATGATAACTATACACACACGTACAAAAGGATTTTGTGTTGTAAATATGTGGTAGTAAAGTAGTGGCCTGAGAGCACACACCTAAATATTTTGTGAAATGTATTGTAATGTTTTAAAAATGGTATGCCTTCATTTTGCTGGCCCCAGGAAGTGTATCTGCTGCCTTGGCAGCAGCTAATGGGGATCCATAATAAATACAAATTTAACCATGGAAGCACGGACACCGTTAGAGGTGTGAAGACTGATGAAAACTTTTATTGACTAAATAAATGTTACTGTGTGAATTAAATTGTCATGTTTGGATTGTTTCAAGAGTTCATAAAGAGCTATGAATTTTTATATGTTTTATTGTACTGTAAGTGCTATGGATTTATTGTTAAAGGGAAACTGTGTTATTCTGTTAATCGGATGGCGTATAGTTCAAAGAGGAGCAACACAGGGGTGTGCTATTATTATACAGTTTTGAGGTGTGGTGATTAGATGAGAGAATTCATATTAAGTTTTATGCCTTTTGTGTTAATGTTTTGGGCCATGCTAAGTGATGTTAATTTGACTACGGAATATACTAGGATTTAGCTCTCTCTGAATAATAAAAGCTGAGTTTAAACTTTGATCAAGGAGTCATTGGTAATTGGTAGTGGGGAATTGTCTATGTTTTTAAGACGTAGAATATTTTGTATTATTTTTATCGTGAAGATTTCTGGTATGTACCATTTGATAATTGTATTCTTATTGCATAACTGTAATAAATCTGATTACTTTTAAATGGAAACGAACCGTAGTCCTTACATTTCTGAGTAATATTCCTTTAATTATTGTTTGGTGTATTGTCTTATGGTAAATGTTATTCACAATACACATAGCAATGTATGCTTGGCCTCTTAACTGTGCAGCTCTGAGCTAAGGTTAACTCAATCATTTAATTCTAGGACATTTACTGCACGATATTAGCTCCTTGTCCCTTAGCCTCTTAATAATTGCATAACAGTAAACCTAGACACGTGCATCTGATAGTATTCCGAGTGGTGGCACAAGGCTCCCTACCTTAACTAGTTTCATTGGATACGATTATGGGCCTCTAGCATTCACATGATAATGGAGTCAGATGGTAGTATGGTCATATTCCCCTACACCAATTCTCTGTCATCCTCAGAGTAAGGGGATTTTCACTAATCTACACTCTCACCATGGAAACAGAGGGTCTGTCGACACGAACGTGCGTCGCTAAAACATTCCTATATCAACGCCTTTTTGTTCCAACATTGACGGAGCCAAGTCTATCGGGACTTGTAACTGCCTGTAACTCACGTTCATTAGAGAAATGTTCACACTAATTGCTTCTCTCCCTGTGTGTGTCTCTGTCTGTCTGTGTGTGTGTGCGTGTGTGTGTGTGTATGTGTGTGTGTGTGTGTGTATGCATGTAAATTTGCATGCTCGAATATACACTGAGTGTACAAAACATTAGGACCCACTGCTCTTTCCATGACATAGACTGACCAGGTGAATCCAGGTGAAAGCTATGATCCCTTATTGATGTCAGTTGTGAAATCCACTTCAATCAGTGTAGATGAAGGGGAGGCGTCAGGTTAAAGAAGGAGTTTTAAGCCTTGAGACAATTGAGACATGGATTGTGTATGTGTGCCATTCAGAGGGTGAATGGGCAAGACAAAATATTTAAGTGTCTTTGAACGGGGTATGGTAGTATGTGCCAGGTGCACCGGTTTGAGTGTGTCAAGAACTGCAACGCTGCTGGGTTTTTCACACTCAACAGTTTCCCATCCACCACCCAAAGGACATCCAGCCAACTTGACACAACTGTGCGAAGCATTGGAGTCAACATGGGCCAGCATCCCTGTGGAACGGCTTTCGACACCTTGTAGAGTCCATGCCCTGACGAACTGAGGATGTTCTGAGGGCAAAAGGGGGTGCAACTAAATATTTGGACGGTTTTCCTAATGTTTTGTCCACTGTGTACAGTATGTACACAGGGTCCTCCCCTCCATGTCTCCGACCACTACTTTGTTTCCTTTTCTCTCTCGCTCTCCTCCCACACTACTCACTCTGCCCCTACACAGATGGTAATGCGCCGCCGCAACCTTCGCTCTCTCTCTCCCACTACTCTCTCCTCTTCCATCCTATCATCTCTTCCCTCTGCTCAATCCTTCTCCCTCCAATCTCCTGATTCTGCCTCCTCAACCCTCCTCTCCTCCCTTTCTGCATCCTTTGACTCTCTGTGTCCCCTATCCTCCCGGCCGGCTCGGTCCTCCCCTCCAGCTCCGTGGCTTGATGACTCACTGCGAGCTCACAGAACAGAGCTCCGGGCAGCGGAGCGGAAATGGAAGAAAACTAAACTCCCTGCCGACCTAGCATCTTTTCACTCCCTCCTCTCTACATTTTCTTCATCTGTTTCTGCTGCTAAGGCCACCTTCTACCACTCTAAATTCCAAGCATCTGCCTCTAACCCTAGGAAGCTCTTTGCCACATTTTCCTCCCTCCTGAATCCTCCCCCCCCCCCCCCCCTCCTCTCTCTCTGTGGATGACTTCGTCAACCACTTTGAAAAGAAGGTTGACGACATCCGATCCTCGTTTGTTAAGTCTAATGACACTGCTGGTCCTGCTCACACTGCCCTACCCTATGCTTTGACTTCTTTCTCCCCTCTCTCTCCAGATAAAATCCTGCGACTTGTGACTGCAGGCCGCCCAACAACCTGCCCGCTTGACCCCATCCCCTCCTCCCTTCTCCAGACCATCTCCGGTGACCTTCTCCCCTACCTCACCTCGCTGATCAACTCATCCTTGACCGCTGGCCATGTCCCTTCCGTCTTCAAGAGAGCGAGAGTTGCTCCCCTTCTCAAAAAACCAACACTCGACCCCACTGATGTCAACAACTACAGACCAGTATCCCTTCTTTCTTTTCTTTCCAAAACTATTGAGCGTGCCGTCTTTAGCCAACTCTCTTGCTATCTCTCTCAGAATGACCTTCTTGATCCAAACCAATCAGGTTTCAGGACTGGTCATTCAACTGAGACTGCTCTTCTCTGTGTCACGGAGACTCTCCGCACTGCTAAAGCTAACTCTCTCTCCTCTGCTCTTGTCCTTCTAGACCTGTCTGCTGCCTTTGATACTGTGAACCATCAGATCCTCCTCTCCACCCTCTCCGAGCTGGGCATCTCCGGCGCGGCTCACTCCTGGATTGCGTCCTACCTGACCGGTCGCTCCTACCAAGTGGCGTGGCGAGAAGCTGTCTCCGCACCACGTGCTCTCACCACTGGTGTCCCCCAAGGCTCAGTTCTAGGCCCTCTCCTTTTCTCCCTATACACCAAGTCACTTGGCTCTGTCATATCCTCACATGGTCTCTCCTATCATTGCTACGCTGACGATACACAACTAATCTTCTCCTTTCCCCCTTCTGATAACCAGGTGGCGAATCGCATCTCTGCATGTCTGGCAGACATATCAGTATGGATGACGGATCACCACCTCAAGCTGAACCCTGGCAAGACGGAGCTGCTCTTCCTCCCGGGGAAGGACTGCCCGTTCCATGATCTCGCCATCACGGTTGACAACTCCGCTGTGTCCTCCTCCCAGAGTGCGAAGAGCCTAGGCGTGACCCTGGACAACACCCTGTCGTTCTCCGCCAACATCAAGGCGGTGACCCGCTCCTGCAGGTTCATGCTCTACAACATTCGGAGAGTACGACCCTGCCTTACACAGGAAGCGGCACAGGTCCTAATCCAGGCACTTGTCATCTCCCGTCTGGACTACTGCAACTCGCTGTTGGCTGGCCTCCCTGCCTGTGCCATTAAACCCCTACAACTCATCCAGAATGCCGCAGCCCGTCTGGTGTTCAACCTTCCCAAGTTCTCTCACGTCACCCCCCTCCTCCGCACACTCCACTGGCTTCCAGTTGAAGCTCGCATCCGCTACAAGACCATGGTGCTTGCCTATGGAGCAGTGAGGGGAACGGCACCTCTGTACCTTCAGGCTCTGATCAGTCCCTACACCCAAATGAGGGCATTGCGCTCATCCACCTCTGGCCTGCTGGCTCCCCTTCCTCTGCGGAAGCATAGTTCCCGCTCAGCCCAGTCAAAACTGTTCGCTGCTCTGGCACCCCAATGGTGGAACAAGCTCCCTCACGACGCCAGGACAGCGGAGTCACTCACCACCTTCCGGAGACATTTGAAACCCCACCTCTTTAAGGAATACCTGGGATAGGATAAAGGAATCCTTCTACCCCCCCCCCCCCCAATTGTAAAGTGGTTATCCCACTGGCTATAGGGTGAACGCACCAATTTGTGAGTCGCTCTGGCTAAGAGCGTCTGCTAAATGACGTTAATGTGCCCTTGAGCAAGGCACTTAACCCTAATTGCTCCTGTAAGTCGCTCTGGATAAGAGCGTCTGCTAAATGACTAAAATGTAAATGTAAATGTATGTGGGCTCTATTTTAACAAACCTAACGCAATGGTAAATATTAGCGCTGGCGGTAGCTAGGTCTGGGGGGGATGTCCAAAATATTGTTGCTATTTTCACAGCAGGAATAATGGGCGCAGTAGCTTGTGGTGGCGTGAAAGGGCTCGGGTTTTGATGAATAAATAAGTCGTAGGTATGTCAAGTTGTGCATTTACGGTCTTTTATGTATTGCATTGTCATCAACTCCAAATTGAACGTTAGTCCGTTATAGCCTAGTTTGATAAATATCCTACAGAAATATAATAACTAAATGGTCTAGGCCTAACCAATCTTTGCTAAATAATTGTCACATGTTTACAGTCCACATTGTTCTAAGTTATTGCATTGCTTCAAAATGGAAATGTATTGTTAAATATACCATTCGCACTGATATAGGGGCCAGGCCTACTGTAAATTGCATTAGGCCGAAGTCTGAGCCATGGACATACCAAACGTTGTCAATAAACAAGATTCAATTCACAATTGATAAGGCCTAAAAAAAAGTTAATAATTCTAGAAAAAGTTTAATCTAAATGAAACACCAACTTGTTTTAAATAGTCAATGTCTAAATACAGTTATAGGCACCATAATTGCTCCCTGTGGGCATATGATATAAAGGCAACGTAGAATATGGACGGTTTTATGCACATCCAAACTTTTCACAGGAGCTGTACAAAGATCCAATATAAAGAGAAAGGTGGAATGTCCACTCACTGTTATTTTATAAACATCATGGAACCATCTTACAGATCCCATTCGCACAAGCATGATATCATATTTCACATCTCTTGTTCCATGAGCATAAGGCAGTGTGCACACATAGGCCTAAACGTATTTACGCATAACTTTCACACGTCTATACAAATTACTAGGCTCCTGTAAATTCTATCATTGCCTATGTGTGAAGCACATTACCTCAATAAGCAATATACATCTACCATTGATATGGCATTATAGGAGGACTGAATAATTTAAATACGTTTGGAGGAGCGCGTCTTTGGTAATCGAACGAGGGGCGCTCTTTGAAAATGGGGATGGATACTTGAACAAGCGAAGTATGCAGGTATTTGAATTGTGAATCATGAAAAAGCAAGAGGTCAAAAACCTCCAAAATATTTAAAGGCACTCTCAGTAGACAATTCAAAACCCCTTTATTGATATGTTTACTTGGCTAATGCATGGCCAGGATAAAAAAGACGCAGCTATGTGAAGTTGCTAAACCAGCCTTGATTTAGGGGAGGGGACGGTAGCCTACGCTTGGTCTTAAATAAAATTAAACTAAATGAGGGAAAATAGTTTCTTATGTTTCTAAATACGAGGTTCACCGGCACAAAAGGCACATCTCTCGTTCCATGGGCACTGTGCGTCACGGCTGGATAGGCTCCACTTCCGCTCTCAAAATCCATGCCATAACCAACTGCCTTAACTCTAAGACCAGCTTTTGATTGGTCTTAAATACCCCCACCAGCGCTGCCTGAAATTGGAACTTTAGGGCAAGTTTTAAAGGACACACCTCAGATATTGCCACCCCTCCCACCTCAGCATAAGCAAGCGCATATAAGATCGGTACATTACCAATCCTAGTGCAAGCGTTGGTGAAAAATATGGGTTGTTTATGAATTTAAAGGACCAATAAAATGGGATAAAAAACGTAGCTGCATGATTTTAGGCAGGTAGCAACCACCACAGGGTGTCCGTTCAGAACACGAGGAAGCCGTAGTTCCAGTTCAAGGTTTAATGAAGAGCCACACACACACATACAACACCACTCTCTCTGATACTAATTGTGGTTCAGTATAGAAAAGATGAGAACTTAGGCTATAGCACAGTATGGGAAAAATATGCCTATTTTCATGTCAACAACTAAACATGCTTTGTGGACCCAAACACATGATAGATGCACAAAGAACAATAGAGAAATGTAGAAATAACTACACATTATAAAACAACATAATAAGCATGAGCGATCTACAACCGAAAATAGCCTAGCACCACAGACAAATGTTAATAATTGCTAATCGCTAATAAGCATGCTAAATAGTCATGCATTCCAGATGACAATGCTAATGCTGACGCCAGCGGGAGTGCTTCGAGGTCTGCTTGCTTGAAATCGTCGGCACTACTGGCCGCCCCGTGTAGCAACTGCACTGTGGCTTCCACCAGCTCATGGAAAGTGTTGAACTGGGCAACATCAGGGAGAGACGACTTGGTGTCCGCTGACAGGAGGTACATTTTAAAAATGTTGTCATTTAGCAGACACTCTTATCCAGAGTGACTTACAGTTAGTGAGTGCATACATTATTTTTTTATTTTTCATACTGGCCCTCCGTGGGAAACGAACCCACAACACTGGCGTTGCAAACACCATGTTCTACCAACTGAGCTACATCCCTGCCGGCCATTCCCTCCCCTACCCTGGACCAATTGTGCTTCGCCCCATGGGTCTCCCGGTCGCAGCCGGCTACGACAGAGCCTGGATTCGAACCAGGATCTCTAGTGGCACAGCTAACACTGCGATGCAGTGCCTTAGACCACTGCGCCACTCGGAAGGTTGCTTCAACAGCTCCTCTGCTTCGTCAGGAGGTACTTGGTCTGGTCTTCTGGTCAAGACTGCGACAGCGTCTTGCCACGTGTGATATCGTCAGCCGGATTTCTCTCCGTGTCCACGTAACGCCAGGCCTGGGGGTCTGTTATCTCCTGTATTTCTGTGACTCTTGCGCCTACAAATACTTTGTACCTGCAGGAGTCTGACTGGAGCCAGGTTAAGACTGTTGTAGAATCCGACCAGTACGTGACCTCATGGATTTCCAGGGTGAGTTATTTTCTGATGACCACGGCCAGCTGGGCACCGGTGAGTGCAGCGCAGAGCTCGAGTCTTGGCATCGACTGTTGTGGTTTTGGGGCCACTCTTGATCTTGCTGCAAGGAATGCTATTTGGATCCGTATATTGGTGTCTTCAGTAAGGATGTATGCAACGGCACATACGCACGTTCTGAGGCATCACTGAAGACGTGAACGCTTATTGTGCTGGTTAGGAGGTCCATGTCGGGGCTGACGTAACACCTTGGCAGTGTGACCTGAGACAGCTGTGGAAGTTTGTTCTCCCAAATAAGCCACGCTTGGAGAAGATCTTCAGGTAGGTCTGGGTCATCCCACCCTCTTTTCTTATTCCAGAGCCTCTGGACCACAACCTTGGGCCGTGTGGTGTATGGGACGATGAAGCCGAGTGGATCGTACTGGCTGGCAAGGATCCAATATATGTTGCACATGGTGGGTTAAATTTTCTCCATGTGACCTTGCTTGTAGCCAAGAGTGTCAGACAGACATTGCCATCGTAATCCAAGGGTGTGCTCTTGGGGTTCAACACCATCCTCGGTGAACCACAGCTCACCGTTCTCCAACCTGGACTCTTGAGGTACAGTGAGGGAAAAAAGTATTTGATCCCCTGCTGATTTTGTACGTTTGCCCACTGACAAAGAAATGATCAGTCTATAAGTTGTCTGTTTATTTGAACAGTGAGAGACAGAATAACAACAAAAAAATCCAGAAAAAAACTCATGTCAAAAATTTTATAAATTGATTTGCATTTTAATGAGGGAAATAAGTATTTGACCCCCTCTCAATTAGAAAGATTTCTGGCTCCAAGGTGTTTTTTATACAGGTAACGAGCTGAGATTAGGAGCACACTCTTAAAGGGAGTGCTCCTAATCTCAGCTTGTTACCTGTATAAAAGACACCTGTCCACAGAAGCAATCAATCAATCAGATTCCAAACTCTCCACCATGGCCAAGACCAAAGAGCTCTCCAAGGATGTCAGGGACAAGATTGTAGACCTACACAAGGCAGGAATGGGCTACAAGACCATCGCCAAGCAGCTTGGTAAGAAGGTGACAACAGTTGGTGCGATTATTCGCAAATGGAAGAAACACAAAATAACTGTCAATCTCCCTCGGCCTGGGGCTCCATGCAAGATCTCACCTTGTGGAGTTGCAATGCGGTGAGGAATCAGCCCAGAACTACACGGGAGGATCTTGTCAATGATCTCAAAGCAGCTGGGACCATAGTCACCAAGAAAACAATTGGTAACACACTACGCCGTGAAGGACTGAAATCCTGCAGCGCCCGCAAGGTCCCCCTGCCCAAGAAAGCACATATACAGGCCCGTCTGAAGTTTGCCAATGAACATATGAATGATTCAGAGGAGAACTGGGTGAAAGTGTTGTGGTCAGATGAGACCAAAATCAAGCTCTTTGGCATCAACTCAATTCGCCGTGTTTGGAGGAGGAGGAATGCTGCCTATGACCGTAACAACACCATCCCCACCATCAAACATGGAGGTGGAAACATTATGCTTTTGGGGGTGTTTTTCTGCTAAGGGGACAGGACAACTTCACCACATCAAAGGGACGATGGACGGGGCCATGTACCGTCAAATCTTGGGTGAGAACCTCCTTCCCTCAGCCAGGGCATTGAAAATGGGTCGTGGATGGGTATTCCAGCATGACAATGACCCAAAACACACGGCCAAGGCAACAAAGGAGTGGCTCAAGAAGAAGCACATTAAGGTCCTGGAGTGGCCTAGCCAGTCTCCAGACCTTAATCCCATAGAAAATCTGTGGAGGGAGCTGAAGGTTCGAGTTGCCAAATGTCAGCCTCGAAACCTTAATGACTTGGAGAAGATCTGCAAAGAGGAGTGGGACAAAATCCCTACTGAGATGTGAGCAAACCTGGTGGCCAACTACAAGAAACGTCTGACCTCTGTGATTGCCAACAAGGGTTTTGCCTACCAAGTACTAAGTCATGTTTTGCAGAGGGGTCAAATACTTATTTCCCTCATTAAAATGCAAATCAATTTATAAAATTTTTGACATGCATTTTTCTGGATTATTTTGTTGTTATTCTGTCTCTCACTGTTCAAATAAACCTACTATTAAAATGATAGACTGATCATGTCTTTGTCAGTGGGCAAACGTACAAAATCAGCAGGGGATCAAATACTTTTTTCCCTCACTGTAGGTGTTTCGATGACTGCTGGAAAGTTGCTGGCCCAATGGCATAGATCGAATCCTCCCTCAGCAAGAAGGGGCTTCAGCTTGTCCACCAGTTTCTTGGCTTCATCCACAGAGGGGAGGCTTTGTAGACAGTTGTCTACATAGAAACAGCGTTCTATAGAAAAGCGCACATCTTCTTCGGGCTCACTGTGGTCGAACACATGCTTCTGAAGGGCAAACGTGGCACAGCAGGGGCTATATGTCGTCCCAAAGGGAAGAACCTGCCACTCATAGACATCAGTGTAATCATCACGGTTTAGGTCTCGCCACAGAAACCGGAGAAGAGGCTGGTCACAGAAACCGGAGAAGAGGCTGGTCTTCGGGTAGCAGGTGGACATGATGGAACATCCCCTTTATGTCACTGCTGATGGCCACAGAGTGTTACCGGAAACGGATAAGGACTCTAAGCAGAGTAGCTCCCAAGGTATGTCCAGGAAATAGTTGTTCGTTCAAGCTCTTGCCCCTGTAGTTGAAGGAAAGGTTGAAGACAACTTTATTTTTCCCATTGTGATGGACCATATGATGGGGAATGTACCAACCTTGGTACTCGTGGACTGCTACTGGGGATACCTTCTTAACGTGGCCGGACTCCACCAGCTTGTGAATCTCTGCGTTGTACACTGCTTTCTCTGGATCCTTGGACAGACGCTTCTCTGTCCCTCGCAGATGAGCCAGTACTGCTTCCTTTGGAGCTTCTAAGGGAGGAAGGTTCTTCTTCCACAGAAGAGGAGTGTCGTACCTTTGAACCCCGTCCACTTTGACCCTGACTGCCTTTTCCTCCAGTAGATGCATAGCTTTTACATCTTGTCTGGACAATGTGTGATGAACTTCTCACTCCTGTACGGTAGCATATCCAACTGCCAGAGCTTCTCTACATGGCTGAAGAGCTCTCCAGATGGAGAGACAAGGGATGTATGAAGGCACTGTTGTGGAGCAAGACTTTGCTGCAGGAACTTTGAAGGACCTTGAAGGGTCCATCCGAGCTGTCTTGATAGCGGCATGTCTGCCAGGGGGATCCAAACACACTGGATCCGTCGGGGTGATTAGATGGGGCTAGTCTGATCCGATAAGCAGTAACGGCTGTGCCTGGTCCAGCGGTGGAAGGAGTAGACCTTTGAGGTGCCGATATCGTTTCTTAAGGGCTTCGACTGGGTAGGTATGTGGTGCAAGGCCCAACTCTTCAGCTGTGAAGGCTCTGTGGATGTCAAAGTACCTGTTTGGTTGAGTAACAGGGGCCACAGAGCATGACACAGAAGCTCCATGGACGACTCAGATATCTTGACGCACTGTACGAAGTGCCAAGTCCTCAGGATTTCCTTGGAGGCCTTCCCATCGTCCAACAGGGCGTACGTGCAAGTGACTTGTTGCCGCTCCGCAAGATGACTCGACTCATCTTCAGCAGCACCTTGCTGCTGCCGGAAGGTCGAAGGTCGATCAACATAGGCAAATGCTCTCTGTTGATGCCTTTGTGCTGGCGGTCTTCATAGCGTTTATGCTAGTGTTCTTTGTAGCAGTCGGGCTAGTGTTGACTTCGTGGAGAATCTCAAGATGCTTCTTCTTGCACTTCTTGCACTTAGCCTTGAGAGTACACTGAGCTGCTTGGTGTTCGCGCACACACTTCCAACATCTTTCATTTGTCTTGATCCAGGATTATTTATGTTCTTTGGAAAGGAGCTGAAAGTTGGTGCATTGATTCATATAATGCTGCGTGGTGTTGCAGAACGGACAATACTTATTTGGCTTTTCCCGTGACCTTTCCTCTGGAGACTGGTTCTGTGCAGAGAGTTTGACTTCGTCCTTTCTCTGCTCACATCCATGGAGGATGGTGATGGTCTTGGGGAATGATTTGTCTTTACACTGATCTCAGCGTGAACTAGGGTGGTCCCTGCTTTGTTTGCAACTGAACTGCGTGGCATCTAATTGCACTCTCACCTCTTACTCGAGCCACTCTGCCAGGTAGAGGCAGGTTGGAATGGGTGTCTTAATGGGGTTCACACATCTCTTGAAGCTGGCTCTTCAGTATGTCCATTAGTCCCTAGCTGATCCAAAATGCCAACCAAGGCATGCACCCTCAGAGCGAATCTTCGGAATGCCTTGGTGTCACCACTCTTGATGTTGGGGCCATCCATTAACACTGGCTGGCCATACAGTTCTGTGAGGGACTCCATGGTGGCACTGTATGGGTACCTGCTGTTGCTGTAGGAGTTGGCAATTAGCAAAGCCTCTTCCAACTTCAGGTGGTCCACCAATATCTGAAACTTGAAGCACCCTGTTGTATCTACAGGCAGCACATTGTTGAGGGCCACCTTCAGCCTTGCAAACTCTTACGGGTCTTCATTGATGAAGTTGGGGATGGTAGGAGTTGGTCCACCGTAGACGCGCTCCCGGCTGGGTGGAGAAGGTGTGCGGTGACGGTCAGGCGAGTTGTCGCAGTGGCGATGGTCAGGTAAGGGGTGATACAATACAATACAATACAATATGCCATTTAGCAGACACTTTTATCCAAAGCGACTTACAGTCCAAGTTAATATGTACAGTGCTGAAAACGGATTTCAGTGGGAATTCCATTCATTCACTGTGTCAACAGAAAAAAAGTGAATACTGAAGATCATGCTCTGCTCTGATCTTTGTAAAGTAATAAACAAATGTAAAAAAATAAATATAATTTGGCAACTAGATATATCTGTGTCATACTGTGATGTGTTCATTACGCGAGAAACTCTTTGGAAGAAGACCGATATTGCGGTGAAACAAAAGTGTGTCTTCATTGGCTCCCACCAACACAGCATTGTCTTTAGTACATTTTGTATTATTGTCCACATTGCACCTGAAATACTGCTCCTCAGCTGACCCTCTTTGGGATATGGGATGCATCTCCCCACCACACTCTTTTGACTAACTATAGGTTAGTCTCATGCTTATTGGGTACACAATAAACCAATGGGGATCTGAGTCAATTCGGTGCAGTAGGCAATAAAAAAGAATGAAAAAGGAAACATTGCATGGATGAAGAACTTCCTATCTATCAAGCAGCCTGATGCACATGTGGAGTTAAAGACATCCTCAAAGAAAATATGACCAATCTTTGCCATCTTTGGTTAATAAAATTATAAAATCTTATAAACAAGATTTAAAACATAACTATTCCTTTAAAATGAAAGAAAAGTTCAGGAGGAGGACTGCAGCAGCAGGCAGTGGTCCTTCAGGGCATTGTGTGGGATAAGGGGGTAGGATTGGTCCTGACAGGGAGAGAGGGTGTTTGGAGGGGGTCAGGTGAGTAGTCGCGGCGGCTATGGTCAGGTGAGTAGTCGCGGTGGTGACGATCAGGTGTAGGCTGACCGTAGCGGTCAGGTGAGTACTCGCAACGGTCAGGTGAGTAGGCGCGGCGGCGACGGTTAGGTGCAGGCTGACGACGGCGATCAGGTGTAGGCTGACCGCAGCGGTTAGGTGAGGGCTGACGTTGGCGATCCTGTGAAGTCAGCCCTCTAGGTGGCGCTGTAGGGATATGAGTTCTGCAATAAGAAGTCGACCGGTCTCGCTGGTGCGATGGCTCACAACGTCGAGGGGTTGACTGAGTAGATGATGACGGTGGGGTTGACTGGTCTAAGAAGGAGAGCCCTCTGATTTTCAATGAGCTGCTCTATCTTATCCCGCTGCCTTTGTGACTGCAGTTTATCATCTCTGGTTGTCACCAGCTGTGCCCGCTCAGGCTGACTTTGATGATGACAATCTCTAGTCGAGGTGCGCCTGCTATGGGGGGTCGGTGAGTTGGCCATTGATGAAGATGAGGCTCCATCCTCACTGTTGCGGGTCAGCCTGGGTAGTGACTTGAACTGTTGGGGACCTATTGAAGCGGATGAATTTGGCTCTTCCGATAGCTCCAGTATCTCCCGTGTCAACTTCTCAGTTTTCCTCTCCTATCAGATTCAGGCACGTTACGACTGTTCTGGAAGAAGAATGGGTAATTAATTCCACTCACAGCGCCCTCTGCTCATGGTCCCTCGTTGGAGTGGTGTGTTGGTGTGTGTGGTGTCTGCCTTGATTCGTAGCTTATAGTCGACCTGACGATGTGGGGGGCGAGTCTGACGGCGGGGACGAACCACAACTTGTGGAGGATCTTCTCTGGAGACTGGCATCCTTGAACTCTGGCAGTTACTGAATCCGGCTCGAAGGACCATGAAAAATATGGGTTGTTTATGAATTCGAAGGACCAATAAAAAGGGATAAAAAATGTAGGGGCTGGATTTTAGGCCGGTAGCAACCACCACAGGGTGTCCGTTCAGAACACGAGGAAGCAGTAGTTCCAGTTCAAGGTTTAATGAAGAGCCACACACACACAAACACATACAACACCACTCTCTCTGATACTAATTGTGGTTCTGTAAAGAAAAGAGGAGAACTTAGGCTATAGCACAGTATGGGAAAAATATGCCTATTTGCATGTTAACAACTAAACATGCTATGTGGACCAAAACACATGATAGATGCACAAAGAACAAAAGAGCAATGTAGAAATAACTACACATTATAAAACAACATAGAAGCATGAGTGATCTACAACCGAAAATAGCCTAGCACAACAGACAAATGCTAACAAATGCTAATCACTAATAAGCATGCTAAATTGTCATGCATTCCAGATGACAATGCTAACGCTAGCGGGAGTACGCAAGCAAACAAGTTTAAGACAAATGGTACATATTTACAACAGACACTATTTAGCTCCAAACAACAATACATCAGGATTTTGGTACTTACATTTAGCTGCACGCACAATAAACATCAGAAAGAAAAGCAATTTCTTCTAAGGAGGTAGTATAAGCAGGAGAGAAAAACAGGTTGGTCATCAGAATGGAAACTATAGACTGCCTGAAGCCCTGCCTGGTCGGGTATTAGGCTAAGTCCTGGGGAAAAAGGCTGCTGATTGGCTAATAAAATGATGATGTTTGGCATGACCTTATTCCAATAGAAAAACCAAAATAAAGTTGGCGTGTTGGAAAGGAGATGAGCTGGCCGTTTCTACAGTTGGAAAAAAGCAGAGCGCTGGCTTTGACAGGTCCAAATTGCCAACAAGCGTGAGTTTGACAATTGTGCTGGCTTTTCACTAATATAGTCACAATATCGGCATATTTCAGGTCATTCAGGGATTCAGCCCTCAGTGGTCACTTTACCACCTTCCCTAAACAACAGCCATATAAATATACTTACTAGATGGGACAAAGTGTCTCAGACTGCAACAACTTAACTGGAACACTTATGGGTACACTTTTAGTCTCATCCTAGTTTTATACCTATGGGTCCACCCAACACATGACATTGACTTGAATTCTACTAATTACATTTCAATGGGATGAGCATTCCCTACCACAGTCCTAATATTAACATAAAAAATATGTGAAATACACACACTGCTCTCAAATAGGGGGTTAGATGGCCCAGACAAAGATATCTTGAAAACAACATACACTACATGATCAAAAGAATGTGGACACATTCCAAAATCATTGGCATTAATATGGAGTTGGTACCCCCTCTGATGCTATAACATCCTACACTCTTCTGGGAAGGCTTTCCACTAGATGTTGGAACATCGCTGTGGGGACTTGCTTCCATTCAGCCACCAGATCATTAGTGAGGTCATCCCAAAGGTGTTCGATGGGGTTGAGGTCAGGGCTCTGTGCAGGCCAGTCAAGTTCTTCCACACCGATCTCAACAAACCATTTCTGTATGGACCTCGCTTTGTGCACAGGGTCAGTGTCATGCTGAAACAGGAAAGGACCTTCCCCAAACTGTTGCCACAAAGTTGGAAGCACATAATTGTATAGAATGTCATTGTATGCTGTAGCGTTAAGATTTCCCTTCACTGGAACTAAGGGGCCCAGACTATTATTCCTCCACCAAACTTTACAGTTGGCACTATGCATTGGGGCAGGTAGCGTTCTCCTGGCATCTGCCAAACCCAGATTAGTCTGTCAGACTTCGAGATGGTGAAGCATGATTCATCACTCCAGAGAACGTGTTTCCACTGCTGCAGAGTCCAATGGCGGCGAACTTTACACCACTCCAGCCGACGCTTGGCATTGTGCATGGTGATCTTAGGCTTCTGTGCGGCTGCTTGGCCATGGAAACCCATTTCGTGAAGCTCCCGACTAACAGTTATTGTGCTGACGTTGCTTCCAGAGGCAGTTTGGAACTCGGTAGTGAGTGTTGCAACCGAGGACAGACGATTTTTACGCACTACGCGCTTCAGCACTCAGAGGTCCCATTCCTTGTGTGGCCTACCACTTCGTGGATGAGCCGTTGTGGCTCCTAGACATTTCCACTTCACAATAACAGTGCTTACAGTTAACAGGGGCAGCTCTAGCATGGCAGAAATTTGGTTAAATGAATTGTTGGAAATGTGGCATACTATAATGATGCCACGTTGAAAGACTGAGCTCTTCAGTAAGGCCATTCTACTGACAATGTTTGTATATAGAGATTGCATGGATGTGTGCTCAATTTTATACACCTGTCAGCAACGGTTGTGGCTGAAATAACCAAATCCACTAATTTGAAGGGATGTCCTCATACTTTTGTATATACAGTGCATTCGTAAAGTATTCAGACCCCTTCCCTTTTTCCACAATTTATTACGTTACAGCTTTATTCTAAAATTGATTAAATCATATTTTTTCCTCATCAATCACACACAATACCACATAATGACAATGCACAATCACACACAATACCACATAATGACAACGCGAAAACAGGTTTTTAGAATACAAAAAAACAAACACAAATACCTTATTTAACTAAGTAGTCAGACCCTTTGCTATGAGACTCGAAATTGAGCTCAGGTGCATCCTTTTTCCATTGAGCATCCTTGAGATGTTTCTACAACTTGATTGGAGTCCACCTGTGGTAAATTAAATTGATTGGACATGATTTGGAAAGGCACACACCTGTCTATATAAGGTCCCACAGTTGACAGTTTATGTCAGTGCAATAACCAAGGTTGAAGGAATTGTCCGTAGAGCTCCGAGACAGGATTGTGTTGAGGCACAGACCTGGGGAAGGGTACCAAAACATTTCTGCAGCATTGAAAGTCCCAAAGAACAGTGGCCTCCATCATTCTTAAATGGAAGAAGTTTGGAACCACCAAGACTCTTCCTAGAACTGGCCGCACAGTCAAATTGAGCAATCGTGAAAGAAGGGCCTTGGTCAGGGAGGTGACCAAGAACCCGATTGTCACTCTGACAGAGCTCCAGAGTTCCTCTGTGGAGATGGGAGAACCTTCCAGAAGGACAACCATCTCTGCAGCATACCACCAATCAGGCCTTTATGGTAGAGTGGCCAGACGGAAGCCACTCCTCAGTTAAAGGCACATGACAGCCCGCTTGGAGTTTGCCAAAAGGCACCTAAAGGACTCAGACCATGAGAAACAAGAATCTCTGGTCTGATGAGACCAATATTGACGTATTTGGTCTAAATGCCAAGAGTCTCGTCTAGAGGAAACCTGGCACCATCCCTACGGTGAAGCATGGTGGTGGCAGGGACTGGGAGTCTAGTTAGGATCGAGGGAAAGATGAATGGAGCAAAGAACAGCGAGATCCTTGATGAAATTTGATTTATTTTTTATACATTTGCAAACATTTCTAAAAACCTGTTTTTGCTTTGTCATTATGGGGTATTGTGTGTAGATTGATGAGGGAAAACTAAAATTTAATCAATTTTAGAATAAGGCTGTAACGTAACAACATTTGGAAAAGGTCAAGGGGTCTGAATACTTTCCAAATGCACTGTATTGTGTACTTCTGAGAGAAAATTCAATTTAACGGTGCATGATGCTAAAATCAAAAGTTGCCAAGTGTGAAAAAGAGAAGCAATGTGTTCTCTTTAGTACATTGAACTTCACAGTAGGGCATCACTCCAGAACCATCTACATTACAATACATCTAGAGTACGTTATATACTCTTATATGAGAAGAGTAGCTCTTAAGGCTGTGTAATAACTACATGCTTCACTTCTCAATGTGTTAGCCAGAATACTATACCACTGCACGGAAGGCTAACCCCAAACCGATCTACTGTATCTCATCATCTGTAGTCCTATGTGCTTGACTTTGCCATTGTCTCAATGCTCATCTGTGATGTGTGAAGTCACAGAGCTCGAGAAACACAAGTCAAATCCAAGTAAAGGGCTAGCAGGCTAACACGGTGAATGATCTTACACACAGTCTTCAGATGAAGAAGCCCTAAACACTGTCACTACCGTGACAGACCAAACCTAGAAGCCAGGAGAAGAGGTTTTGGTCTCTTCTCCTGCGTTATTCATGCAGAATGACGTACTCGTCGACAGGAAGAAAGAGAAAAAGAGAGAGATGGGGGAGGGATAAAGAGAAAGGAGGAAGAAGTGATCGAGAGAGAGAGAATGGGGAAAGAGATAAAAAGGGAGAGGTAGAGGGGAAGAGAGAGAGGGAGGGAGTTAACTAACTACGAGTGAGCTGCAGTCGATAATACTTCTGATTGAAAGGCTCTGATTCATTTGCTGAAGTATAAATGAGCCAGTGGTAAGAATGAGGAGAGAGACAGTCAGACACTATGGACCGTGTGTGTGTTTGTTTGTGTGTGTACAAGTATTGCAGGGAGAGAGGGGCAAGGGAGAGAGAAGGGAGGAAAAGAGGGAGAGAAAAGGGAAAGAAGAGAAGTGAGGTAAGAGCAATTAGCGACTACATATGTCGTTACACACCATCGAGTGCAACATGATTAATGTGATAATAGGGGCGCGTGTTTTGTGTCTGTGTGTGTGTGTGTGTGTGTACGAAGGATGTACATGCAAGTCTTTAAGGGAGAACTATTGAACTATCGACTGATCCACAGGGTAACATGATAGATCTGTCATCCTTGGGACTTGGTCAATATCTCCCGTTTAAAGCCAAAGGACTGTGAGTATATCTGGAGTGATCTCTCTAGAGATTGATGGAAGCTTTCACAGAAACACAGCTTTCTCTGGGACTGTGTCACAAATGGCACCCTATTTCTTATTTAGTACACTATTTTTGACCAGGGCCCATAGGCCTGTATTTCCCCTGTGCTGTGACCTGCACACTGAACACCAGATGGGTCGTGTTTATTAGGACATGCAATGGAAAACATTTAAAGATGAAAATGAGTGTTTCTTATTGGACAAGTCCAGGTAGTCCATCGCTGTATCAGTCCATTTTCTTCCGTTTGCTGCCTATTGAACACGACCCAGGTCTTTCGTACAGTCCAAGGATGTAGTGATGTAAGGAAGATAAGTGGGAGAGAAGGAAGGAAGGGGAGGTAGAGAGGACATAGTTTAGTAGGCCATCTGTGTCCGAAACCTTAGTGTTTTTTTTCTTTCTGATTAGCTCTGATTGGCTCTGATTTAGACCGGCAGGAACACTGAGCTGTCAATCACCTTTTGTTGCCCTAGGTTGCCTGCTGCTCACTGCTCAGCTCAGGCCTCATCAGTGGCTTACATACGGTAAATGATCAAATACAGTTCACACAGTGTGTGTGTGTGTACACAGAGAGAAGTGTGTGTGTGTGGGTTGGGGGGGGATGTTCCTGCCTGTGTGTGTGTTCCTGCCTGCTATGTGTATATATGTCTGTGTGTGTATGTTTCTGTGTGTGTGTGTTTGTGTGTGCGCGCGCATGTGTGTGTGTATGAGTGGGTGTGTGTATGTGTGGGTGTAAGGGTGTGTTATGCCTGCCTGTGTCTCAAACCCGATCGTGGATGAGAATGGGTGGATTAAAAAGTATAGAAATTGCAGTTAAACGCTAGTTGGCTGTGTAATCTCAAAGGGTAATATTAGCTATTAACCAGTCACTCTCCACCCACACTGGTCACTCCAGGTTAACACAGCTAAATCTTATGGTACACACACACACACACACACACACAAAAAACAAAACAAGGATTTAGCCTGCAGAGAGAGACAGATATATAACCAAAGAATACCATTATGTACTGTAGTAATACTGTAGAACGTTATTACAGTGAATATATTAAAGAGGCTAAATTATGAATGAATGAAATATAGGCCGGGAGTAGAAGATTAATTACATGGAAACAGAATGAGCTACTCCAGAGCCTCTGGCTGGGGTTGAACTCCTCTAACCTCCACCTCTACTACACATACACAGACGACTGAGACACACACACACTTACGTGCATCACACACACGCATATGTAACAACCTGGCGCGACTAGCTCTTAGGAAACTTTGCAGTATTTTGTTTTTTTATGTATACATTTTTACATTATTAGCTCAGAAAGTGTTTTGTATCATTACATACAGCCGGGGAAAACTATTGGATATCAGAGCGGCGGTAACTCACCAGCATTACGACCAGGAATACGACTTTCCCGAAAGAGATCCTTTGTTTGCTCTCCCCAGGGCAATTAAACTGATTCCAGCAGCTGACCCAAAAAACCTAGCCGGCGGAGGAGAGGCACTCGGAGCGACCTGATGGTTCGACTGAGGAGGCGCACACACCACCCACCGCTTCCAAGTATACTACTCGCTAATGTTCAGTCTTTGGTTAACAAGATTGACGAACTCCGGGCAAGGATTTCTTTCCAGAGAGATATCAAGGCCTGTAACATACTTTGTTTCACGGAAACATGGCTCCCTTGGGATATTCTGTCGAAATCGTTCCAGCCAGAGGGGTTCTCAGTTCATCGCGCAGACAGGAATAAATATCTCTCCGGGAAGCAGAAGGGCGGAGGTGTGTGTTTCATGATTAATGACTCATGGTGTAATTGTAGTAACATACAGGAACTCGAGTCCTTTTGTTCACCCGACCTAGAATATCTCCCAATCAAATGCCAACCGTATTATCTCCCAAGATAATTTTATTTGGTTATAGGCCGTGTATATCCCCCCTCAAGCCGATACCACGACGGCCCTCAAAGAACTTCACTGGACTTTATGTAAACTGGACACCACATATCCTGAGGCTGCATTATTGTAGCCTGGGATTTTAACAAAGCAAAGTTGAGGACTAGGCTGCTGAAGTTCTATCAACATATCGACTGTTGTACTCGCACTGCCAAAATCCTCAACCATTGCTATTCAAACTTCCAGGATGGTAATATCTGACCACACCGACAGTGTCACCAGCAAAGCACCCCCACACCCTAAACCCTCCTCCTCCTCCATGCTTTACGGTAGGAAATACACATGCGGAGATCATCCGTTCACCCATACCGTGTCTCACAAAGCCACGCCGGTTGGAACCAAAAATCTCCAAAGGACAAATTTCCACCGGTCTAATGTCCATTGCTCGTGTTTCTTGGCCCAAGCAAGTCTCTTATTCTTATTGGTGTCCTTTAGTAGTGGTTTCTTTGCAGCAGTTCGACCATGAAGGCCTGATTCACACAGTCTCCTCTGAACAGTTGATGTTGAGATGTGTCTGTTACTTGAATGCTCTGTGAAGCATTTATTTGGGCTGCAATTTCTGAGGCTGGTATCTCTAATGAACTTATCCTCTGCAGCAGAGGTAACTCTGGGTCTTCCATTCCTGTGGCGGTCCTCTTGAGAGCCAATGTTATCATAGCGCTTGATGGTTTTTGCGACTGCACTTGAAGAAACTTTCAAAGTTCTTGAAATGTTCCGTATTGACTGACCTTCATGTCTTAAAGTAATGATGGACTGTTGTTTCTCTTTTCTTAATTGAGCTGTTCTTGCCATAATATGGACTTGGTCTTTTACCAAATAGGGCTAACTTCTGTATACCACACCTACCTTGTCACAACACAACTGATTGGCTCAAACGCATTAAGAGTGAAATAAATTCCACAAATTAACTTTTAACAAGGCACACCTGTTAAGTGAAATGCATTCCAGGTGACTATCTCATGAAGCTGGTTGAGAGAATGCCAAGAGTGTACAAAGCTGTCATCAAGGCAAAGGGTGGCTATTTGAAGAATCTCAAATATAAAATATATTTTGATTTGTTTAACACTGTTTTGGTTACTACATGATTCCATATGTGTTATTTCATAGTTTTGATGTCTTCACTATTATTATACAATGTAAAAAATAGTAAAAATAAAGAAAAACCCTTGAATGAGTAGGTCTGTCCAAAGTTTTGACTGGTAGTATAAGTGTATACACTACGACGCACACACACATTTGCACATAAACACACACACAATCAAACACACTCAATAATCTTCCATGTCAGTGAAAGGGCTTCTCATCAGAAGAATGGAACAGCAGAGATGAGTGCAAAGATACTGGCAGCTGGAGCCAAAGCCCTGGTATCACAACCAGCTTAACACACACACACACACACACAGTGTACGGTGAGTTGTGTGTGAGCTGAGGACCAGGCAGAACGCTTAAGATTGACTTTGAAAGTTGACATCTTTCCATGTCCTGAGGACGTTGGGCAATGCATTCAAAAATGTCCACTAGGGGCAACAGTGAGCGCTAATACCATCAAGTAGGCTAGGGTTTTGCTAGGGTGTTGTGGACAGGAGTGGCAGATGGACGTAAAGGTTGTTTGTTCAATCCCACTGGTAGAAACTATTTCTTTGTTTTACCCAATCCCAAACCTTAAAGGCCGTTTGCACTTCCTCATTTGGCCTTGTTTTTCATCAATGTTCATTTAAAAAATGCTAGCGGCCATTACTGAAGACAAACAAGAGTTGTCCTAGGGGGGGTGGTTTGATGTGGATGTTTCTTGGGTGTGTCTTTGCCATTCAATCCCAAGAAAGGGCAGTAGTGAGTACAGCGAGGTAAGCTAAGCTAGCTTTGCTATGGAGAGAACATCGCTTTTAAGTTGAGGACTACTCCCCTCCTGACTGACTCGCCACCTCAAGATGGTCTGCTAATTCAGTTCTATGTGTAGGCTAAACCTTGTGTAGAAATTAAAAATACGTTGTGTGTAGAGTACAACTTCAGCTGTCTGACCAGAACTAGAATGGCATTATATTTGGCCATTTGGCCAAATCTAAGGATTTGGCTGTCAAACCACACACTGACATGCACAGCACTGACATGCACAGGTTCGGTACTCAAGTGGGTGATGAAGTCCCTTCCATCTATTTAATGTATTACAGGTTATGGACAGGAGCAGTCAGGTAGCAGGAGGGGTGGATTGCATGACACTCCATCCTAGATAGAGTTTACCTCAGACCATGGGTCCAGCAGGCAGAGTTCAATAACTACAGGCAGGTGTGAGATGCAGGAGGATGACACATTAGGGTATCGACCAATTAAAAGCTTCATCCAGGGGGAAGCTTTGCATCGGCCAGTAGCCTACAGAGTCATATGAGAAGAGTATAATTGCTGAACTTATGTAGATATTCTAAACAGTGTTTTGATGACGTTGAAGTGTAACAGTTCCATGTAGAATAAAC